ACCACTTCTAGCTTATCAAAAATCACCATTCAACTACACCCAACACCAACTGCCGCACCTCCCGAGATTCATACCCGCGACCAGTTGGTTAGAAGTAGTTAAGGCCTTTTACTTTCGTTTTTAAATTTTGTAAAAGAGGCCATGTGTGAACCGTCCCCAGAGGTTACCTGGGAACTTCAAGCTATCATGAAAATGGACCTCCATTACGTAGGGAGTAAAACTGATCGCATGACCTTCGGCCTATTACTAACAAGCAGGAATTCAAGTACAATACGCGGATTTACATGATGATACTTTCTCAAGTTTGACGAAATCGTAAAAAAACAATATTTTAACTGCTCGTTGTAGTGCTGATTAAAATGGCATCACGAAAAGGACGTCAACAAAAAATGCGCCTTATGTTTATCAAAAGTATCATTTTCCCGCCCACTGAATATGTCTCACAAGATGTTTTACAGCTAGATCGTTGCTGTCGGCTTGCCTCTCGAAGCCTCGAAAACAGGACAGTATCAAGGACGGCGAGTTTGGCTTGCAGTTCAAACCGTGCAGCGTACTGCATAAAAAAGTTTTTCTTGGCTCCATGAATAAACGTATTTACCTTTTCAAAAATGTTGCTCACACGAATGAATAAGCTGAATAATTTACAACCAACGGAAGTTCTCTTTAATCGCGAAAACGAGTAGTTTAATTCGATCACATCCTAAACTTGGTAAATACTTTCTTGGCTAACCTAATATGAACCATGTGATAAAAAGTCAGTCATCTTTCGTGCCACTAAAACAGCAAGCTGGCGTTAAGGGGACCATCAGAAAGAATTATAGTGTGGAAAATGTGCGAGTAAGGTGGAGTAGTTAGGCAGTACGTCGTGTGGTCCAGCACTATCGCTGCTGACGCTTTCCCAGTTTGTGTAAGATTAATAAGCAGAAAAAATGAGCCGATAACTCATTCAAGAATATTGCAACTGATGTTTTTAGCAGGTTATATCTCGGGTTATTCATAAGGCATGTGCGTGATCGATTATATCCATATGATCTCCACCACTCTAGTAAGCTTTGTAGCCGGTAAGTTTACGTTATTTTGAATACCTTAGTCGACAAGAGATGAGTCTACACGGCACAATTTGTCATTGAACGTTCGCGACTAAATATATGTAGTAGCCAATGATTTCCCGCGAAGCTATCGTGTAATCAACCTTAGATTTTACCATTAAAGCCACCTGTAACTACAATAATGTATGCATCCCAAATTCCTTCCGTAAGATAGATTTTCTATATTTAAGCCCTCGAATCCTTATCAATTGCCTATGAATATTTAAAAAGTGAATATACTGTCGAATTACTGTCTTCTCTATGACCATAAATAGCGAAAACAGGTAGCCTAGTGATTATTAGAAAATTTCCTTTTCCACGATCAACCACATTTAGGCGACTATTCGCATGAAACAGTTGTAGAAAATAGGTTCCTTATTCTTAGGCAGGTACGGCATTGTGTTGTGTGCTTTCTTATACGAGGTTTCTTAAGAAATAACGCTCATACTAGTAGACATCTAGCAAAACAGAGACGAAAGCGATCTGCTTGTATAATTCAGTACTGTAAGTTCACAATAATCTCGATCAAATCTCCCTCATCTCCGTAATGCCGAGTTAATTGAGTACGTCTCCCATTGAATACCTTCGCAGTATGCAGTTCATTAAAAACTAGAGATAATGTTACGGTCCCTAAATGGGCCAGGGGGAAAATGTGTTGAACTAACACGTAAGCCGGATCAGGTCATGGTAGGCATTATCCAGGTTGTGTTCCAATAACGAATGCCGAATGTTTTGGAGGGAGGGGGGGAGAAGGGTCGAGGTATCGGTGGTAGGCGTGAGTGCGGTTTCAGGTACCAACCGCCCATGGCCTTTATCGCATTCCCACTTCGTGGGATCCGAGCTAGGCTTCGCCGCTCCGGCCGCCTGCACCTGACTCCACCCCGGTCTTCTTAACTCTGTGATGAAACCGGCCAGATGCGGGTGAAAGATAAGGGAGCGCGGTAGATGCAATGTAAGTCTACGATCAATAAAGACTTATCCACGCGTAAGTCACCGTCTCGGCAGCACCAGGCTGTGGAGCCCACCGTGGGCATCGTCGGAATAGAGGTTCGAACTGCTGGTTTACTTTAAATGCTCGATCTGCGGTGAAAGGCGGGGAGCACTAGAATGGGAGAATTATGACCTAGAAAACTCGAACAGAATGTCACCTGTGCCAAGGACCGCTCAGTTTGACGTGAGGCTTTTTGGATGAGAGTGATGCATCATGCGTGAAAAATTGTCTGTCATATCGGTTAAGCTTGTTTTTATTTACATTGGAAATAAATCCATGTTGCTCGTGTTAAGTTTCTCTAGGGTATTTTTTTCAGGAACTGCTGAGCTAACACTATTAACCAAAAACGGGCTTTTGACCTCTAGGATATTGTGCGACTTTGGCAGAAAGCCGACCTCGCAAACATGGTAAAATAATTCGGGATCGAGAGAAAACGGAGGCTGTACGAAGACCCGAGAAACAATTTTGACGTGGGAAAGCAAACAGCTTTTTCAGTAGAAAGAGGGCTAACCTTAGTTCTTGGATTAAGTTAGTGCATAATCCAGAACATGTCACAGATCCAAGAAAATATATATTTGGGGAAATCTGCGGTATGATTGTCTTTTGAGGTATTACTTGCCTCTGACTTATAATAATAGCTTAAATTTACATTTTGCAGTAGCCTGACTTTCCTTTTTTGTTTAATTCCGCCAGTATAAGGTAAAATTTTCATCAATACGCATCAGTTGCCTGAGCACCAAGAGTTTAGATTGATGAAGTTGATTCTATTTAGCTCATTAAAGCAACTATATGTAGCTTTACTTGCATTTTTGGTCACATTTAACACAATTACATATTCACTTACATTTGTTAACCAAGAAGTAAACCTTTAACTACCAACTTCCTAAGACAGTTGGGCGGGGAGAATGCATACTTAGGCGGCTCTATAAGAAAGTCCTGCCTAATCTGCTTTCGATCAATCATCATCGCAACGCACTAATATGCGGTGAAGCGGGAAAGCGGAAGAGAGGGATGATGGGTTCTGTTGTTGAAGAGCTATTGGTAGTGGGAGGGGGGTGGAAGAGGGGAGAGCAGGCACTAATTTCAAGGAGATTGAGGCTGAGCGAGGTGGAGAAGGAATTCAGTGTCATGAGATGAGTGGTACAGTAGGTGATTTAACTCATGCAAACTGCCAAAATTGGTGAACGGTAAATAAGCACTCACAAATCGGCATTAACGCGTGCAGGAAAACCTGGAAATAATGAAGAACAACCTTAGGCGAACTGGCACTTTCGATAATATACGAAAATTACTATTAGTTTGTTTAGAAATGTCAACTTTTTCAAAAAAGCCTCAAATTCAGATAACGTGAAAAATCGTTGTAAAAACGATCCAAAAATGTAAATATAATTTTTATGCGAAATAATATGTTTATAGCATTTTGTGTTTTATAAAAGAACTTCCTTATCGTCAAATTTCTTTCTATGTATTTCTGATTTTTTACGACCATTAGTTTTAAAAAGATTTTAAAATTCCGATTAAAACTTTTCGTTTTCCTCTATTTCTCCATAAACGTTGATTATTCTAGATGCGTATATTAAAACCTCTAAAATAAGATATTTCTTTAAAGTATTTAACAACGAAGGGAGATGTTGGATATTACTGCTTACAACAATGACCGTTTGGGTCATATTTTTTGGCTTACCCGAACACGAAAACCCAATGCTGAGAAAAAATTAAGGTACCTAGCAGACAACATTATGCTACTATATCGTGGTTCTTACTCTAACATGTACTAGTCAACCATCGTAAGGGAATCTGAAGTACGTTGTCTATATTGCGAAAAGTAAATGGGAACTAAATAACAACACCTACTTCTTTAATATCATAGGTTGCGGTGAGTTGGTTGTTGGCCTATGCGTCTAAACAAAGTGTCCGTTTTGGAGCAGGTGAGTAGCATAGTGTTGTCTACATGAGCGTGACACCTGTGTCAGCATGAGGGGGTGAAGCTTTGAGTGCTGAACGTGTGCTTTGTTCGTTCCGGGCTCGAGCAGAGGGGGGGAGGAGGAGTGTATAATGACAACGACCCGTGGGGTGAAAAACCACGCCGATCGTCGCGCCTCAACTAACGTGACCAACTAGGCTCAGTTGTGCACGCAAGCGTGACTTCGTCCAGGTTAGGCCTGAGGGCTCGCCTAGCGTTATGGATGCATGCCTGTAGATTAGCACACAGCTGTCGCGGCCTTCGACTGACAAAGATACGGCGGAATATGTGGCAGTAGAGCGCCTGTTACAATTCCTCCGCTCAGACGCCAAACAAAGTGAAAGGGCCGTAACAACGCTTTGAAGGATATGCAGAGTTGGGAAAAAGTGAAAGTAGGAGTCACGCTGCAGTAGCACCGTCAACAGGATCCATCAGCTGTTGAGACTTCTTTTTCAGCTGATCCATCGGCTGAGCTGGCGGTCCGTACAGTCGCAGCTGGCATAGACTAGTAAGAGGCATAAAGGGGTTAGCTTCGATCGCTCATTGGCCGCCCCGTACACAATACGGAATAGCTGTTTGACGTGGCCCCGCTGGTCAGCGTCCAGTATGTGAACTGGGACAGCCCTCCAGATAAACCTGGTTGTGCCCTGAACATGACGGGTAGCAAAAAACGT